AAGCTCGAAACGGCACGATTGCGAAGGAAAAGAGCCACGGAGACGCAGGAGGAGAGAGAAGAACGACTGCGAGTACAGCGCGAGAAGGCGAGAATACGTCGTGCAAGGGAAAGTGAAGAGGAGCATGAAAGGCGGCTAGAGCAGATGTGGCTCTATAGGCAGGAGCGATCGTCATTGGAGACGCCAGAGGAGCGTGAGCTGCGGCTACAAAGGAGGAGAGAAGCCGAAAGACGAAGAGAAGAGAGGACGAATGAGAGGGAATTGAGACGGGAGCGAAATCGACTCTTCAAATGAAAAAGCGAAAAGAGACAGCAGAACAGCGAGCTGCGCGGTTGGAAGCGAACAGAATTCGGAACAAACTCAACCGCCAGTGTGGCAGATACAAAACCGGCAAAGCGGCAAAAGTCCGGTAATCAATCCGAAAGTTCTGTATAGCTGTTGGATACAAAGTGCAGGGGGGGGGAGAGGGGGCGATAGTTCTTACGTATCAAAAGATTTTATTTGTTATGGATATGGGTGAATGGACAAGAGGCTGCTTTTTCGTCGTCATTACCAGTTTTATGTCTGTTTTCACCAATCAGCGCAGGAGCTATTGGCCGATACTGCTTGTCAAAGCTCCACGCTCTCAACATCGATGAAGTTTCTGCCACTACGCTGTGAAGCTCGGACCATCTTTTCTAGAGGTGAAGAAAGTTATTGCTATGCTAATGGCTAACGGTTATAAGATTCGTAAAGCCAAAGTCATCAGTTCTACCTTCTACCTTCATGAATGGATCTGAGATTAGTATGCAGTGATAAACAGTTCTGCAAGCTGTAGCGGCACAATTACCCTTGGAGTGTTGCGTTCGACTCAGCTCTGATGGAGTTCTTTAGTCGCTGCAACGAAATAGAAGCATAATTTATGGCATAAGTATAATTACTCGCTGGAGACGTCTCTTTTTAGATCTCTGCTGCTAGCCAGGTTGGCTCGGCTATAGATAGAAAGGTGCCGTGCTGCTCTGTGTCCCTTTTTTTAGGTTCCTCATCGTCATTCTCAGATCACTTGTGTGGGCTTCAACGTAGAGGTTTCAGTTCAGAGTTCAACTAGCCCAATATATTAACCTTTTGGCGACAATGGCACCCACTGGTGGGTGCCAGTTTGTGCGCTTTGTGGACTTGACTATTGTCAAATTTTTTTTTACCGTTTTTTAACTTTTTTCACTTAATTTTTTTTAACTTTCAGTAATTATTAGCAAGCTTTACGAATATATTTATGTGAAGCGTGGCTAACAAAAGTGTCCGGTAGGAGCTAGTTGACACGAAATTTCAGTGTGTGGCATTCAGTTGGGCGGCATTTTAACTGGGTTTTTGCATTATTAGACTAAAGGTTAATTACTGGTCAGTATTTGTCCGTCTTTTCGTAATCCAGACACAAGAGGATTCAAATTATATCAAAAATTCTATTGTACATATAACTTGCCAAGGTTTACCTCGCTCCTTTGCAAGTCGCATTTACTTCTTCCAGACTCAATTTTTTCACCGGTGTAATAAATATGAAGCTCAAATCAGTGGTTATATTTCGCACATCACTAAATCAAAATTAGATAGAAAAAATAATTTGGGGACAATTCTGAACAATGTTGAGCGATTTGGGCGCTTAAAAAAGTGGATCCCATCCCCACGAGCCCGGTTACGTGCACATCGCATTGTGGTCACAAAAAATTCTACAAAAATATGTTCTTCTCGGATTCTTGATAGATTCATTCAGCGTAGGTGCACGGGCAGGACTTTCGCGGTTGTACTAAAATATGCGAGGATTTCCAAAAAAACAAGGACACTTGGCCATGGGGCGACATTTATAGCTTTCCATCGACAGTGTCCGCTGATCGATGAAGTTTACCAGCAGACTATTCTTAGATGTCTTCATATAGAAGGGAAGGCCCCTCTTCCACGGCCCTCACCGTCCTCAAAATATGACGTTTTCTTTTATCACCGTTGAGCTCAAGAAGGCCTCAAGTTATTGTTCCAGCCTGAAGCTGTTCTGGAATTTTTTTAATCGGTACTGATGGATTGCTTGCTAGGGACAGTAGTTCTAAATGAGCAAAAACCCTTCCGACCAGCGTTTCAGAAACCGACGTATCCCAGAGCTTGGTTTCCACGAAGGTGTTTGGTTTTGTTACTTTTGCCATGGTATTGCAAATTCTGGTCTTTAGGCCACGCATCGACGGCAACTCCGATGCTGTCCTGTCTTGCCCAGGATGTATGGTGCTGCTAACGAGAGATTGTCAGAGGCACGAGATTTACAATGATCAGTACAGGTACTTTGGTTCCGAACATATGTTTAGGTTGGGTTATTGGAAGCATTACTAACTGTTAGATTATGTGTTGCCACAGTTTCACTGAATATGTTGTTTTAGAGCAATGTTCGTTGAGAATTGTCGGGTCGATCAGGCGAGTCTAAAAATCGAGAAAACTGGTAAAGAGAAACGTCGAGAACGTCAGAGATTGCGAAAGATGGGACTGGATCCCACCGAACAGTCGGTAGGGTACTACCCCTAAAATTACTATGTTCTCTGTGCTTAAAACTATTATGAAGATCGTTCAGGACTCCTCTGAGGACATTTTTCTGCCAGTACATTGTGCTGTATGTTCGACGAACGTCGCTGTGATGGATCATGATGAAGTTTATCACTTTTTCAATGTGCTGGAAGATTTGGTGTGACGTTAACTTGTACATTGAGTAGAATGAAAAATTAGCTCCATAAAATTAATTTTAGAATATGCCCATATAATCAACTTTTTTCAGGACATTCCAGCACATCAACATTCGAAGCAAAGAATTCAACAGATGTCGCAAGGAAAGGAGATTACTTTGTGCTTCTATCAAATGAACCCAGATTAGTACACCACGACTCAGGGTTGATAGTCCCAAAACAGTAGCCAAAAGGTGAGGTGGGTAAGCAGTAGCCGCGGAAAAATACGGCTTCGCTTCTCCACGATCATTACAAGAAACAAGACTGGTACTTTAAGACTCATGAACAACATCTTCCTCGGGGATTAAGATACATCATATTCTCCTGTAACACATAAGTAGGTACATAATTGCAATACTTATACATAAAAAAACAGGTTTCATTCTTATGCATAACCCGTGAGCACATTGAAAAAGTGATAAACTTCATCATGATCCATCACAGCGACGTTCGTCGAACATACAGCACAATGTACTGGCAGAAAAATGTCCTCAGAGGAGTCCTGAACGATCTTCATAATAGTTTTAAGCACAGAGAACATAGTAATTTTAGGGGTAGTACCCTACCGACTGTTCGGTGGGATCCAGTCCCATCTTTCGCAATCTCTGACGTTCTCGACGTTTCTCTTTACCAGTTTTCTCGATTTTTAGACTCGCCTGATCGACCCGACAATTCTCAACGAACATTGCTCTAAAACAACATATTCAGTGAAACTGTGGCAACACATAATCTAACAGTTAGTAATGCTTCCAATAACCCAACCTAAACATATGTTCGCAACCAAAGTACCTGTACTGATCATTGTAAATCTCGTGCCTCTGACAATCTCTCGTTAGCAGCACCATACATCCTGGGCAAGACAGGACAGCATCGGAGTTGCCGTCGATGCGTGGCCTAAAGACCAGAATTTGCAATACCATGGCAAAAGTAACAAAACCAAACACCTTCGTGGAAACCAAGCTCTGGGATACGTCGGTTTCTGAAACGCTGGTCGGAAGGGTTTTGCTCATTTAGAGCTACTGTCCCTAGAAGCAATCCATCAGAACCGATTAAAGAAATTCCGTAGCAGCTTCAGGCTGGAACGATTACTTAGGCCTTCTTGAGCTCAACGGTGATGGAAGATGACGTCATATTTTGAGGACGGTGAGGGCAGTGGAGGAGGGCCTGCTTCTACTTATGGAGGACATCTAAGGAATATTTGCCGTAAAACTTTCATCAACAGCGGCACCCTGTGCGACGAAAAGTTTGATGATGTGCGCCATGGGCAAAGTGTCTCTTTTTTTTGGAAACCCCTGCATATTTTAGTACAACCGCGAAAGTCCTGCCCGTGCACCTACGCTGAATGAATCTATCAAGAATCCGAGAAGAACATATTTTTGTAGAATTTTTTGTGACCACAATGCGATGTGCACGTAACGGGCTCGTGGGATGGGATCCACTTTTTTAAGCGCCCAAATCGCTCAACATTGTTCAGAATTGTCCCCAAATTATTTTTTCTATCTAATTTTGATTTAGTGATGTGCGAAATATAACCACTGATTTGAGCTTCATATTATACACCGGTGGGAAAAAATTTGATGTCTGGAAGAAGAACGCGGATTTCAAAGGGAGGGAGGGTAAACCTTGGCAAGTTTATATGTACAATAGAATTTTTGATATAATTTGAATCCTCTTGTGTCTGGATTACGAAAAGACGGACAAATACTGACCAGTAATTAACCTTTAGTCTAATAATGCAAAAACCCAGTTAAAATGCCGCCGAGCTAAATGCCACACACTGAAATTTCGTGTAAATTAGCTCCTACCGGACACTTTTGTTAGCCACGCTTCACATAAATATAATAAAGCTTGCTAATAATTACTAAAACGTTAAAAAAAATTAAGTGAAAAAAGTTAAAAACGGTAAAAAAATTTCGACATATTAGGTGCCAATGTCCCACAAAGCGCACAAACTGGCACCCACCAGTGGGTGCCATTGTCGCCAAAAGGTTAATATATTGGGCTAGTTGAACTCTGAACTGAAACCTCTACGTTGAAGCCCACACAAGTGATCTGAGAATGACGATGAGGAACCTAAAAAAAGGGACACAGAGCAGCACGGCACCTTTCTATCTATAGCCGAGCCAACCTGGCTAGCAGCAGAGATCTAAAAAGAGACGTCTCCAGCGAGTAATTATACTTATGCCATAAATTATGCTTCTATTTCGTTGCAGCGACTAAAGAACTCCATCAGAGCTGAGTCGAACGCAACACTCCAAGGGTAATTGTGCCGCTACAGCTTGCAGAACTGTTTATCACTGCATACTAATCTCAGATCCATTCATGAAGGTAGAAGGTAGAACTGATGACTGTTGGCTTTACGAAGTTATAAGGTTAGCCATAGCATAGCAATAACTTTCTTCACCTCTAGAAAAGGCGGTCCGAGCTTCAGGGCGTAATGGCAGAAACTTCATCGATGTTGAGAGCGTGGAGCTTTTGACAAGCAGTATCGACCAATAGCTCCTGCGCTGACTGGTGAAAACAGACATGAAACTGGATAATGGAAGAGAAAAGTGTCTTTTGTCCCATTTTCACGATATCCATAACAAATAAAATGCTTCTGATGCGAAGAAACTATCGTGGCACTTTGTATCCAACAGCTATACAGAACTTTCGGATTGATTACCGGACTTTGCCGCTTTGCCGGTTTTGTATCTGCCACACTGGCGGTTGAGTTTGTTCCGAATTCTGTTCGCTTCCAACCGCGCAGCTCGCTGTTCTGCTGTTTCACTTTCGCGTTTTTTCATTTGTGAGAGTCGATTTCGCTCCCGTCTCAATTCCCTCTCATTCGTCCTCTCTTCTCTTCGTCTTTCGGCTTCTCTCCTCCTTTGCAGCCGCAGCTCACGCTCCTCTGGCGTCTCCAATGACGATCGCTCCTGCCTATAGAGCCACATCTGCTCTAGCCGCCTTTCATGCTCCTCTTCACTTTCCCTTGCACGACGTATTCTCGCCTTCTCGCGCTGTACTCGCAGTCGTTCTTCTCTCTCCTCCTGCGTCTCCGTGGCTCTTTTCCTTCGCAATCGTGCCGTTTCGAGCTCTGATCGGGATCTAAAGAGGTAAACGTAGGGAAAGTATGCAGTCAATTTTGAAAATGCTCAGTTATTCAATCGTTAACAACAAGGTTTTGCAAAGTCACACAATATAACAGCATCTGTAGACTCATACTTCTCTAATACGATCTCAGCGACCACCTCCATTTCGCATGAGTGGGCCCGCTAGATGCAGCGTCTTCACTATTTGATATGGCCTACTGATCGTGAGGAAACATACACTCTCAGCATATACGGGATTTTTGTGCATTCAAACTTGTAATACGTTTTATTTGACAGTAAAATTATTTTTTCAGTAAGAAGTGCTCACTTTGCAGGATTGTGATAAGGGGAGGCACAACCTTTCGACTGGAGTGCAGCCCATCAAATCTTGTAGTTATAGTATTAAAAAGAAGATAACAAACATATAAATCTTTCAACATTCGCCTCTTATGGTGGTCTCTGGTTTTTTCTTTCCTATGCCAGTAATCACCCTCAATCAAACTCCCTTTCCCATAAATC